TTCCTAACTATGGATAATCAGTTAAGTGTCAGACTCAAGGAAGCCACATGGGATGACCAACTGTTACAATTTTATTGTAAATACAAAGAACAAGATGCTAGATATACTGGCAGAGCAAAATATTGGACTTCATTCTCCATTATACATAACTTACCACTCACTATGCTCAAGCAAACTTGATTGATTAACTATATAACTATATAACTACTCTTTTTTATGGTCCACAGGCTCCCCCCCAGAGTTAACAACAGATCCCTCAACTTATGTCAATGACTTCAAGAAAATTCTGGAAGACGTTGCTAATGCAGATATTCTCTTCAAATTTGAAGATGGGAGTCAAAGCATTCATGCCCACAAAATTGTGTTTTGGTTTGGCATATCAGCTTTTAGAAGTGTTTTTTTTGAAAAAAATTGGAATTTGTGTGAAAAATTTCAGGATTGTTTTTTGGTTAAGGAAACTGAATTTAAAGGAAGGACTTGTGTAGTTTTGAAGAAATGGTTTTCCCGTGATATCTTTGTTCAAATTTTAGAGTTTTTATATACTGGCGAGGTGAGGATATCAAAAGACAGTGAACATGCAGAAGTAAATGAACTTTTAAATGCTGCAAAGAAGCTAGAAGTTGTAAAGTTGATAGATATCTGTGAAAAGCTGCTTGATGTTAAAGATGCTTTGAATCATTCAAAGGAGATGGCAGAAATATCCTTGCTGCCAAAGCACACTGTAGTGAATGATTTTTTTCTTGATGACAACTTGGCTGTATATTCTGATGTGACATTTCTCATAGAAGGAACATTGGTATTTGCTCATAAGGCAGTGCTTGTTGCAAGATCACCTGTTTTGGCTGCTCTTCTGAGTGATAAGTTTGCAGATGGTAAAAGTACCCAGGTAGGTAGTTTATTTTAAGTCAACCTTAAGGGTCAATTATTTACATGAGGTCTAACCCAGACAATGGTTTTAGGCAAGAGGTGGGCCTCAGGGATTCTCTATAAGAGGGTTGATTTAATGAATAAATGTCCTTCCACTGTAAGCTTTTGGCTCTCTTATGAAAGAGAGCTCTCTTATATGGACCTAAATTCACTCACTTACTTGATTCTTATCATTGAGGTAATTAATCTATGCCTTAAATCTTGGATTAAATGCATTTTCCTTGCCTTCCCTTCTTAGTTTGGTTCTGTCCTCGAAGTCATTCTATTGTCTTGTGTTCATATATGTGAGGGGTGGGACATAAGTGCAGTTGTTTACCTGTGAAAATGGAGTGATCAGTGTGCAATAATTCAAAATACTGTCTTGTGTCAGGCCAAACGCTAAATGATTAAGGTGGTTTTTCTTTCTTTTTGCTTCATCTTTGATCTAAATACACCTTTTTAGATCTCACAAATAGGGGAAAAGGTGCAGAAGAATACTAAACTAGAAGGAAAAGGACTTGAAAGTCTTAAAATTGACAATGACTACAGACAATCGATATGAAAATATTTTGTTTGGCCAACAACTGAAGCCAACAGTTGAGAAACAAAACAAATGCAAGATGTAAATGACATTTACTTTAATTTGATTTTCTTACTCGTTGAAAGAACATGTTTATTTGGAATGTTTTTCAGGTAGCTTTGCCAGGAGTCAACTGCAGAAGCTTTGTAGCTGTGCTGGAATACCTGTACACTGATAACTGTACTTCCCTAGGGAAGATTCCAGCAGAGGATGTGCTTGTTCTTGCAGATTTCTTTTGTCTAACCCACTTAGTGCAGATTTGTGAAGTTCAAATGTATGGAGAATTGTTGAATATGACAAAAAAAGATTTGTTAGATGTTCTAGCATTTGCTAAGGTAAGTGGGTATACAAAACTCTCCTGCAAACCTCCTTTTTTCTAAATGATGTTTTATTTTAACTGTTGTGGATGATATGATAAACTTCTACATGTATTAGAGATGCCAAAGTAGCCATAATGTAATAGAGACATTTTATTAGTTCTTATTTATTAGGTTTCATTAGGTTTGGATTGTCGTGGATCAGTTGCTTAATTTCTCCACTGTCCTGTACCACTTCTTTGGTTGGTCAGAATTATTAGCTCAGTATTCCTGTTTTTACTATTTTTCCTCAGATTTTTAATGCCAAGCAGGTAACAGAGTGGTGTCTTTATGTCATTGGCTTAAAATTCCTTAAATTCCAAAGTATTGAGAAAGAGCTTGAATTGATTGTTAGTGAACACAGTCAGTTCTTTGAAAAACATTGCTGGCCACCTCAAGACCACAGAAAAGTTCTCAAGAAATACAGGCAAAGAGTTAAATGGAATAAATGTGACAAAAGACAACTCAGACAGAGGGCAAGTTCCTGTTTACCACTGAATTGTCATGTGATGTAGGATGTCAAAGAAAATTGGCCAGGCATTGTTGTTTGCTGAACCTGTAACCTGTTTCATTGATTACACCTAGTGATAAACAATTAGCAAGCTTCATATTTATGCCCCCTGTTTGAATATCATTGTAAAGTTTGATGCAGTTTGATTGGGTTTGTAATGATGCAAGTGATTAGCTAAATATGACAAACTTGAATCCCTAGTATGATTTGTTCATCACACATTGCATTACTGGTGTGCTAAAATGTTATTTCTTATTGTAACCAGCCTTATACTGTATTTGTTATATTTTGAACATTTTTGTCTGTTATAATATGATTAGTTTTACAGTTTATTGATAGCAATGTAGTTTTTGTTAACCATTTAGAGTGAATAATTATGTTTTTCAGCCAAAGGGCTGCTATATGATGTTGATAAACTATATGACTTTGTATTTAAACTGCATCGTGGGACTTGTCATTGTTTACGTTGAGACAGATTTATCAGAACAAATCACCTCCAAACCATGTGTGATAATTTTTACTATCATAGTGTTACGGTGGAGACACTCCATAAATACACTAGGAAATTCCCCACTTTTAATTTAACACACAGACGTCCCATGCCAAACAATGTTATTGTTATCCAAGAGCCACTGAAGGGAAAGAAATAGCCATTCTCTAATAAACCAGCAACTGATCTTTTTTTCACAAACTTTTATATTCTTAGTGTTCCTTTTCCTGTTGTGAAACTTTGCAGAAAATAGTTTGCGTTGATCAATTAAAAGCTCTAACATCCCCCTGTGCATTTTAACTTTGGAGGATTGTTTGTTCATATTCCCGCCCTGCTCCCAGGGCAAAAATTGTCTTCATGTGCCCCACCCTATTTATTTGTGAGAGGAAATATAAGCGACCTTAATTTTCTACACATTGAAGAAGCTTTAAAACCTCGACTTCGAAGAAAACCTTTTCTTCTGGGCCATTCGCGCGCGGAAGTGAACTATTTGCCTTTTAAAAACCTCCATTGTGAAATATGAATTGTATTCCGCTAGAAAGACGTTACACTTCCGGTTCAAATGCTCCACCCCAGACAAGGAAGGTTCAAATTCCCCACACCCCGGGCATGGGTGACAGTCAAATACCAGTGCATTTCCCGAGGGGGATGCCGAAACCTTGAAATGATTAGCGCATTGCGCCAAGGGAAAAGAAAAAAAGGGGTGAAAAGAAAAGTAGCGTGTATCGAGGAAAAGCGCGCGTCCTGATCAGGAAATCATACAAGGCCCCGTTCAAACAGTCACAATAGTTGATAGTTGACGATAGTTTCAACTTTGCGCTCAAATGATTCATGAAAGTTGTCGATAATGATGAGATTGCGTAATTCTTAACAAATTGAGTCCGCGCTGAGGTCAGCATTTTCGGTGTCATTTAAAATTTTAGCCAAGATATCGCGAGTCGAAGATACTAAAGCCCACCAGAAGATATTGAGAATAAACCACGAGACATACTGCCAGATTTTGACAGCTACTTAAGTAATTTTACCATTGCCATCTCGGTTTGAGCCCGTTTTTGGCTTCACGGCTGACCGAAAAACTATCAAGCGTTGAAATGGCAAAAACTATCATAAACCATGTCGAATTTGAAAATATCCAGTTGTTATAGCATTTGATAAACCATGAATTTCTTTGTTCCCAATAGACTGTGAAAAGATCCATGGAAGCCATATAAAGCCAGGATTCTTTCACCTTACACCAACAGCTAAGGGATTTCTGGACATCCGGGCGGAACTCGTCTTAAAACTTGGTAGTAACGATTTCTGTGGCCTCCTTTTACATAATTTGATACGTCACTAAACATTTTGAAAGCATCATAAGAGATTGTGTATAGAATAGATATGATACATGGCCACACAGAGATATGAAATTTCCCTTCGAGTGTTGAAAAATATTCTTTTCACGCACGAAGAGCAAAATTTCGGATCTCCATGCGGCCATGAATTATTCTATTTATTATACAAACACTGATGAAATACTAAATCAAAGGCGCTGCATCGTAGAGGCGCAATTTCTATATGTAACCATAACAACAGTGACCTTTTTACTTGTGGAGATATTACATGTTTTCGCGCTAAAGCTCATTTGGTATTTAATTAGTGTTTTAATAAACAGATAATGTATCAACTGCTTTTCGTGAAAAAATTCCTCTTCTGGACTTTGTATACTTCACTTTATCTTACAACAGTTTAACACAACTTTCACTTTGATGGAACCTTTTATGATCGATTAGGGCGAAACTGGGTCAATTTCAAGGTAAATTCTCTGCGCAATTTCTTTATTATAATTAAGAAACTTGTAGTTAACGAAAAAATTGATAGGCATTGAAGCTATACCGGTTAATGGGCAAGAATGACTGGTGGTGCAATAATCTCGTTTTTCCAGAATTTTACGACGTTCCAGTTACAAATCCAGTAGACCTATAAGGGATTCAGTTATTTACGTAGGTTTTTGAACCGTTTCATAATATCCATCAGAAGCATTTTAAGACGATGAAGAAGTTTCCTATAAGGTCGTTTCTTTGAAAGTTAAAAACACGTCTCTAAGCTTTCACCAATACGCGGTATCATCCCTGAAAATGTACAAATTAGCAGATGTAACGAAGCACGAGTACGACAACCGATTATTAATTTGTTTTATTTTGACAATCTTCTCCTAGAGCGTTATTGAATCTCGTGCACAAAATTTACGATCAATATCCTATTAAACCTTTTTACAATACCCTGTGTACACGTAAAGCCTAATGGGCCTCGATGATGCTTGCACGACACAACGTGCTGGCTTCCTTCCCTTTTTCTTTCCATTCAGTTATATCGATATTATGGTGTCATTTTTACATTTACAACGATCGATTAAAGTAATGGAAAGAACAGATTAAATTAGTGACCTAAAAGTAAATTCAGTATGGAAATGACGAGTACAAATCCTGCAAAACTGGGGGAAAGCGGAATAAGCCATCAAATGAACATCAAATGTGCACTCGCACAATTAACAGCTATTCGTTCATTCAGAGATAAATACAAAATTCTTACAAAATATATGAGTGGCTGACATTAGTGGTAAGCAGTTACTTTTAACGTAGCTTCTTTAAATATACACGATTCATTTCGTCAACTCCTAGTTTTAAACAGTCAAAATTCATGGTACATTTGAAAGTTGGTTCTTGCGCATGACTTTTGGCGCTCGATTCTTTCTTGTGATGCAGTCAAAATTAGCGCGGTGTCGGTCACGTGATGAAGGACTTGAAAATGCCCTGCCACACTTCTCACAGGTGTAGGGCTTGGCTCCTGTGTGCATGTTGATATGAAACTTAAGTTCGTAAGATTGTGCAAAGGCCTTGCCGCAATATTCACAAACACAAGGCTTTTCCTTCGTGTGGGTGCGGCGCACATGGCTGTCATGTGCTGCATGTGACGCAAATGCACGTTCGCAGTGCTTGCACTTGAACGGCTTTTCTCCGCTGTGTTGACGAATGTGTGTCCGGAGAATGGAGGAAGCGGTAAACGCTTTAACACAATGTGGACACTTGTAAGGTCTTTCTCCGCTGTGAACCCGCATGTGTTTATTGAGGCTGGATGACTGAGAGAAGCGTTTTCCACACTCTGTGCACTGATGGGGACGGTGCTTTTCGTGAACATGGAGGACGTGGATACGAAGCCGATCTCGTTTGTCAAAGGATCGATTACAGACAGTACACGGGAACTTACGATCGCCTTGATCAACGCATCGGGTGTATTTAAGGTGGCGGTCACGGTAATATTTGTAGGCAAACACTTTACCACAACGTTCACATGAATATTCAGTTGACGGATCTGATGAGCAATAAGGAAATAGATAAGGGTTATTCAGAAACATGATACAATTAACCCTGGTGATCTTAGTTACCATTGGTTCTAACATAATCATAAGATAAAGCGCTAAAAAAGAGAAATTGAGTGAATAGTTAGTATCCGCCACATCGCTGTTTAACGTACCTGTCAACTCCTTTTGTCGAATTTCATTCTTTGAGGCACCAATTTTGAGTCCGACGGGAATACCCATGGTCTGGAAATAGCAATCACCGTACCAAACCAGCAGCTCTTCACCCATCGAAATATCCCGACAACTCTCGTAAAATATCTGTTCGCCATCTTGAACTAACACTAGGTTCTGCTCGCCATCATGTCTAGCACAGTTGACAAACTTCATCCAGTTTTCGCGTTCGTTTTTTCCATCAATATAATGGCTGATTCCCCTGTCACTGAACACCTTGTGAAAATGTGACAAAAATTCAAGGTTTTGTGGTCATAAACAAAGGAATTCTTTCGTAATGCACGTTTTAGCGTGATACTTTGGTAAATCAAGGCATCTACTGATCCCCTTGTCCTGTGGTTCATATGGACGTGACGTCATGACTTCTTACTTGGTCAACCAATTAAATGAGCGTTTAACATTCTTGTGAAGTAATTCGAAACTCGGTCATGCACGAGATAATTTGGTGTTATAATAATAATTTATAATAATTTGGTAGAGTTGATAATGAAAATTGGTCACCCAAAATAATTTTTTTTAAAGTTTCGAACGTTAGCCCTTCGTCAAAGCGAAACATCATTTATTGGCTTCGACGAACGCTTGAAACCTCATAACTTCACCAGGGAGCCCCTGGGGCTTTAAAAAGCGAAAATTACATTCCATGAATGATACGACAATAAAACAACCTTCTGAAAAACAAAACCTCACACGAACGGTAAAAATAGATATTTTGCAAACAAGGTCAGTTGATGGTATATGTTATGTTAACTCATCTACGAAGAGCAAGAGAAAATCAGAATCCCTATGTTCTTTTAGTGTACTCTGTAACCTTTCATTCATTTCTCACCTCCCACATAAAAGCGGTATCACCACCATTGGCGGTATCTGACGGTTTAACTGCCGTTCCTTTGTAAGGACCATATCGTGTACCCTTGGTAATCGATGAGCAAGAACACAGTACGGCATGATGAATTCCTGACTTTATTTTTGCTCCAATGAGTTGAAGTCCCACAGGAATTTGGGTTGGAAGCTCAACCTTGAGTGGAACAGCTGTTCCGCATATGAAGCGGACTTCTGGACTATCTTCGGAATTATCTAGGGAATGGAAATGATACAGAATCAGCATATATCACAAGAAACTTCTCTTCTTCACAGTCTGTATAGCATTATTGTAACGGGCGAGTTTTTTTCTCATCAACTCAAGCAGTTAAAGGAAGATCTACTATTTTATATAATATATACTAATATATATCGATAATAACCCCTGTGTCCAACCAGAAGGCGACCGCCGAGCGCGCGTGAGGACACTCGAGTGAAACAACCTCAAGTACGAGATAATCTACTTTAACGACCCACCATTGCTTTCTTTCTCCTTGAGCTGATCATGTGTCGCTGTCACAGAATAGTGTTAAAACACCACAAGTGAACAACATGGCTAACTGACCGACGCTTTAGTTCCTGACAGTTTGTAAAAAGGTCAAAAACACGTAGAGGGCGGAGAGGTGCGGTCGTGCCTAAACGTCACATGATCACACCCAAGCAAGAGCAGGTTAAAAAAACATCAGCTGAGATGCCTTGTTTACTAAAGAAAGCGAATTTCGTGACCCTTCATCTTATAATTCTGATTCTTTCAGGTCTATTTTGTCTGTAATTATGTTATGGTGTTGATCGATCCATTTATTTCTTTATTCTTCTTTTGTTTTTTTCAGAAAAAAAAATGACATTATTTCTCACTTCAAGCTTGGTTCATTTTATTATTATTCCTATTGTTGTTGATATATTAAGTATCATTACTGTTGTCATCACTTGGGCTCATTATTGTTATCATTATCGTTAGTTATATTTTTCCGAAAAGAAAATTTACAACATTCTGCCATGACGTCAACATCTATCAGAGTTACCATACAAAGGACACCACCTTTTCCAAAGGTTGCGTTTGGCGCTAGATCGGGCAAAAGTTAAAACAAGAGATTAATTTATAAATTATGCGCTGATTCTCCAGTTTGCTTGTTGTGTGATTCATTATGTTCGCGGGATTACCAAAGGATACGTATGCCTTAGTCTTAAAACGTGTTCCCCGTAAATCGTGGAATTGCAAGTTACCCTCGTCCGCGTACTCGTTTAATCGAAAGAATCGTTCAGTCGGAGGCCTCTATCCAGAATGTTCCTCTTGGTAAAATTGTTGTATTAAAAGTCTAACAGGAGAATAGGAAAGTGGAGAATCTTCGGGAGACTTTTACACGATGTTAGTACAATCAGAGCATGACTATAGTCGTGGAATAAAAGAGCTGCAGTATAAGAGAAGACCAGAAGCTGAAGAAGACGTATAAGTGCGCAATCGAAATTGTCAACATAAATTGTAAAATCGGTTAAAATATAAAGTGTCCACTCGGAAGATAAGAACCTTTAATTAAATCAGTACACTATATTAATATATTTAGCAGTGGTCCAATTTTTCTTTGCCCTTCTTTCCTTTGACCTATGACCTCTTAAGAGGAGGATGACTATCTGAATTTGTTCCCACTTCTTCAGATCAGTTTCGGGTAAGTTTGATGTTAAACTCTTCTTGTTCTGTAGCCAAAGTTCTTTAAACCTTTCTTTCTTCTTTTTAAGAAGCCGCTCAACCCATCATCACTGGAAAAAAACAAAGCGGCCCTAACAAAAAGCTGGATCCCTCAGGAACTTTCAGGAATCTGAAACATCATTACTATTCCAGATGCACAATTAATTACAATTGATAGAATTGTCCCAACCGAAATCACGTTCGCTCCAAAAAAAAATGTTTGTTTTTACCTTAAATTAGAGCAGACGTTTTGAATTGGTCAGAAAAAACCAGAACCTTTCAGCATGCGTTAACAGTTAGACGTATAACGTGACTAGCGTAACCTTTCGTGATAAAGTTGAAAATCAATTTGGTGCGCGCCCCCTATTTTTACAGCAAATCTTTTCCCTTTCAAACCTCGAATTCACTTCGCATTATCCTATTTTGGCTTCTTAGCAACAATTCAGCTTACAGAGAATGTTTCTCCTAAAGCAAGCAGAAAGCTGCTTTCTAATGTTTCCCAGGAGAGTGGAAGTACGTAAAAAATTTCCATTATAAAGTCTACAAATACAATGGCTCGTTACGGTGCTTTGCATCTTTCTGTTTTTGATGTTTGGTCTTGATTAACTATTGTAGGACACCGGGCAAAACGAAGCTCGTGGTAATAATTACAACATAAAAAAACAAAAGAAAATCAACACAGTTAATGACAAAGCATACAACATGTTTCCTAACTAAAGGTAGAGTTTCCTAACAATAGTTTTTCTAAGAAGAGCAGTAATCCCAGCTTAACCACTGAACATAAACAAAATCATAGTGGAAAGTTATCTTGAAAGGCGAGCTAAATCAAATATTACCTCTTGAGTGACGGTTGACTTTCATGGTTTCATCTTTGGAGGTAAAGTAGCCGAAAAGCGACACATTCAAATCTTTCGAAGTAAATTCCCAGGTGACTGAAATGTTGTTTTCGTTCAACCCAAACTTCTCCTGGCCCTTGTGATCTCTTCTATGCATCTCAACCTGAAATTGCCTGAAAAATTGAATATGGAAAGGAAAATTGTTATCTAATGTAAATATTTCTTGGTATGTTACCAAGGGTTCAGAGAGTGTCGTGTAACACTTTACTCTTTGTCATCGCCAACTCGCAAATAAAAGGCCGGTAATTTGCATCCTTGGTTATTACATTAGACTCGCTCTAAAACAACGCGCACAGAATTGTAAACTCAGCAGTAGACACACCGGGCCCTAACGTTAAAACTTTCAATCGAAATGATCTCTCGAGCCATAATAGACAATTCATTTAAGATTAAATTTTGAAAGCAGTGGGTCAGTAAGTCTCACCATACTAGTATATCACGCTCAGATTTTGTTATTCCAAGCTTCGAAAAACTTTTTGCATTTGCTCCCATCAAATGGATAGTAATATCTGCAGGGCTCTTCAAACTGTTTCCGATATTTACACTGTTTTAAAGGCCCAGGATTCAACTGGACGAATTGCAAGCCTCATTCCCGAAAAAGGCACTCTCTGGTTGTGAGTGGCACGCTTGAATTTATTCCTTCGTTATTACAGCTTATTTTTAAACAACATTTTAGTTTCATTTGTACTAGGTTAGCATTGAGAAGAAACTAAGTTCTAATACATGCGATAAAAATTTCATTGGGAGATTGGTCGATGTTAACTAGAACTTACCTTGAAACGGTTGTTAGCTCCAACTACTGTCTCTAACCACTTATGACCTTCCTGGCCCTGCTGATCAACACTGTACACGCGCCAATATTTATAGGCACATGAGCATGCGCACTAGCTTGAGCCGACTGCTCCAGGTAACAGTTCAAATTAGTTTTTCGTCTTTAAAATTCGTACCAAATTTACATGTGAACTAGTCTGAGCTAATGGTACAATAAAATTGCTTTGAATCTTCGTAATAACTCTGAGTGAAATCAAGAATTGCCGCGATTTAGAGAAAACTCATCGCATATTTCAAACGGACTCCAGATGTCTTTGCCCACGGATTTGATGCTTTCAAATTCAACGATTGATTGTGTGACAACGAGTACCAACAAAGTAAGCAACAATCTTCCATTTAAAGAATGATCAATGATCCTTTACAAGTGAATCCAAAATTGCGTTGCGTCAGGGATATAAATTGTTGCCAATCGTATGATATCATGTCACCGCTCTTTATACTGGCGGCTATTACAATGCTGATTGTTTTTATTGTATTCAAGAATTGTGTGATATCCTCTAATGATGTGGCCGATTTCGCATGCCATAAGGATCTTGTAAGTTGCTGGTCACTATCCCACTAGAAGACCTTATTTTGCTCTGTTACCATTATGTAAACGTGTCGCAAATTTTGTGTGGCATGGAACTCCACCTTCAAATAACCATCATTAGTCTTCAATTCGCTACAATTTGCGCATTTCAAACCTAAATAACTGACGTCTGCCTACCAGTCAAAATGGATCAAACTAATGAGATATTAATTGTTGATCCATCACCCAACTCCCTTCGACTTATTTTTTTCTCTCCTGTGGAAATTAAGGGAAGCCTTAAAAGCAACAACAATAACGAAACAACTTGGTATGACCACAGATTTACGCATAAAATAAGCAATTAAAATTTATAGTCTGCCAGCAGATCCTCCATTTTCCCTGGAGTCGTAATAAGAAAAAGCGAGCGAGCAAAGGGTTGTTGCGGATTTAACGACAATAAAGCGACGTAGTTGCATTTCAATCAAGAGGTAGCATCAAAGGGCAAAACTGACTCTCAAATCCCAATGAAAGAGAAAAGTCTGACAAAATATTAGTTGCATAGTTCTTAATATCAGCTTTCCTTGGGAATCGTATCACATTTGTACCGTCAATTATATCTATTCTTCCACGCACGTGATAAAAACAGAACATGTTTTCATCATGAGCGTGGAGGGGTAGAGGGTATTGTACGCAACGTAACTTAAGTTATCACCGTAATACGTTTTGGGAATATATATTGAAAAAAAGAACAAAAAAAAAGGAAAAAAAAGGAATAAAACCAACGGGTCTACCTTAATGCCATACTCGATCAGAAATGTTTGCTTCAGCAATTGACTACAAAAGCCTCACACAACTGCTTAATACTGCTCTAGAGCAGAGCAAGCTTTGGCGCGATTCTTATAGCCAAACTATTAACTTTTGTAACACAAATAACGTGATTATTATTAAGAGAAATTAATGTCTCATTTTTTTCTTTTGTGATCATTACACTATCCAGGAAAATGAAATCGGGAGTAAATATCAAGATAGGGATATCCAACAGAGTTGTCAGTGGTGAAAGTCTCCCTTTAAAACAGACTGTACCACCACAGATATGGTGACATGTTGCAGTGTTATTAAAAGTACAATTTTTTTTAGTAAATTCTGTGCTATTCGTGGTTTATTGTTACTAATAGTGACATTTATACGAGGGACCAATTACAAAAAGCTTTCCATGGTTTGGAATAAACCAGCTTAGTCGCGAATTATTTACACAGTGGGACTAACTGACCCACTTCTCTCAATGTTTCGTCTTGAAACAAATTTCCATCATTTCCGAGATATATTTCCCTTAAATATTCTTTTACGTCAAGCCTCGACACTTCTACCAAAGGATTTTTAACTCTGTAAGCGTAGTTAGCGAGGCCAATGTTCTAAACAACGATGCAAACTACTGGCCTTTTGTTCGCGATTGGCGTTAAATTGGGAGATTCAGATTAAAAAAGAAAGGTTTTAAAGGTGTTCTGCCACCAGGATGATTCAGAGAAGATGCGAAAGGAGGAACCAGATACGTAACCAAGTCCGCACAAGTTTATCCTTAATTCAAATGAAACACAACTACAGTATTTTTCCAATAAACAAGTTCTAAACAGACAATCAAGTTTTATTCACTTTTTTTTTTTTAGATTTCGACAAATGAAGAATCATTTCAAAGACGAAAACAAAGAATATTACACGGAAAAACTGAGTAAATAAAAATAAATACAAGAGCAAGTGTCCGCATTTCTGGGATGAATGCTTGTTTGGTTTGCTTCAGGTTTCACGGTACTTATGTTGTAGGTTAAACAGAGTAATTGATCATATCATGCAGTTCAAAAGGCTTCTGCATCGTCTGGGGCATCCAAGTCTTTATACTGAATAATCTGTCTGGGGTCACGATGGAAACCGCCCCTGTTATAAAATGAAAAAAAAACGGTTTTTCGTTTAAAGTGAAAACAGTCCATGTAATGTTTACTGCTTCACTCCGCACGAAAATAGGACGTAAAGAACAGCTTTCGCCCATCGTGAATAAAGTGCGTGACTCATATACCCACAAACGTAAACCAAACAGTTATCACCGAAATTTCTCAACAAATAATAAAACACGATATTTATTACAGAGCTATTAAAATTTAATTCAGAGAAGCAGAAAAAACCTAACGAGGCGTGTTCAGGTTTTGCATCATATCTTGGTATTTTGTGATCAGGAAAGTGGAGGAATCCACACTCTAACTGCATCTCTCTATAATCTGCTGATCATTTCCAGAACCAAGTGCAAAGTAGAAAGCCTTATGACCTACCATTAATCGGGGACAGGTTAATTTTTGAGTAAAGAGCAGGCTGCTTAATTAGAAAAAAGATACGCAACGTGAAAATTTCCTGAACTAACCTTTCGCTTACTCTATTTCTTCCTCCGCCAAACCCAAATCTACAAAATATGAAAGAAAAACACATTGAACTAGCGTTGTTCATTCAATCACTGATTTGCCGTTTTTGTCTCCTTTCAACAACAGATATGGCGTTCTAACCTGCGTGGCTTGGGGGGAAATGTATGTCCTCTGCCGCCATACATTTCATGACCGTAGCCTCCGTATGCTGGGGGAGTATAAGGTCCGCGAGGGCCTACAACACGTCAAACATTCAATTAGCACAGTCGCTTCTCACCATCCACAGTAATCTCCATCAAAGGCGCTGTTTGCCGAACTTAACAGCACCCCTATTCAGGGGAGAGTAGCTAGAATGAAAGCCAAAATAGTCTTTAAGGCGCTGAATGGTATGCTGCCATGCTATCTCTCTGAAAAGTTTCCAAGATTCAGCACTCTTCACTCGACGAACGCACGAAATGATTGCGGAGACTTAATTCTACCTCGTGTAAAACACTCATATGGACAGCGCTTGTTTGCTTTTAGTGCGGCTAGACTTTGGAACAGCCTACCTGATGAAAAAAAAAGGACTGCTTTTCCTTGAGCTCATTTATCAACGAAATTAGGAAAACAACTAACTAGGTTATTTTTGCATCTATTGGAGAATGACTTTGCAGTCATCGATATGTGGAACAATTATATTATTTACATGGCAATTTTGTTCGTTTTGAATTTTTTTTAATGTTTTTGTTTTCCGCGAGGGCCATTTGTCGATTACCTTGTAATATTTTGCGCCACCCTCAATAAAGAAACAATATGATTAGTATAACCTATACTCCACTGTTTTTCCCTTTAAAGTACCTATTTACAAAGTTTTTTTTAATTCCTTTCCTAGAGAGTACGAGTTAATTCTCTCTTCTGATTCAAATTACATAATAAAAGTAAGACCTAATAATGTCAAAGGATCTTTGAATCAATCGCCTTCTGAGCCAGTTCATGTACATTCTGCACAACACAGCAACAACCTCACAAGCTCAGAAAGGCCAAATATAGTTCTCTTATTTCCTTTGATAGGGACAAAATGCTCATCGTGAGAACAGCTTTTCTTTATTCTCTGATTTCAGGAAATTTATTTCCTCTCAAAATAACAAGCAACAATTACCGTTCCAACTGTAACAAAAAATAGCAAAGTTACAATGGAATGGTACCTGTGAATTTCAATCGGAAAGTATTACCCAAACACTGAAATCAATAGAATATCCTCATGAAAACAACAAGAATATTGCAAAGACTAGAAAATATTTTAGTATAAACGAGGTTTGGGTGGATTTCAGTAATGGAGTCATCATGCATAAGGGCTATTTGGCAGCTTTTGGGGAATACCCGTGGGAATTTTAACTCCTCATGTTTGTGACTTACCATACATCACCATTTGAGGCCTGGGACCCCATCCCATCATGGTTTGCGCGGGCTGATGTCCATACATTTGGCCCACGTGGTTTCCAGGTGGACGTTGAGGTGTGGGAAATTCCGGTATTTGTGGCCGTCTGGGATCTGATAAGTAATTGTTAAAAAACTCGGCCTACCAAAAAGAAGAAAAACAAAAAAAACATGCTTCACCTTCACTGGACGTCAACAAATGGATACCTATACCATATTCGATGGTTTAACCTATCACATGAGCGGATATTTATCGAGTTGCGTTGTATTTTCCCGAACCCCGTAGTGGCGTGAAAAAATGCGGGCAACGAGCAAAATGTCCGCTCATCGAATAAGGGATTTATTATTCCGCTAATTTCTAATGTTTTGACTTCTAGTTTTCAAAATACATCCAACACCCTCATAAGAACTTCTCATCGATTCCATAAGGCGAGCGCGAAAGACGAAAACAACACCAACGAAACCATTAAAGTGTTAAAATCTGTAACGCTTCAAAGTTCTTTGTTAAAGGAGTGAAACCTAAACAAG